ATGGGTCCTAAGGCAACTTCTTATAAAGTTTAACTTTATCAGTCTTGGGGTTCATGGTGATTCTAGAATGAGTTTTGGAGCACTGTTGATCATTACTTTTTCAAATATTGGTTTTGCATATTTTTTCTTCTCTCTTCCTGAGACTCTAAATAGTTGTATGTTGACTTTTTACTCTATCCCATATATCTCTTTTGTTCTTTTCTGAATTTTTCATCTTTTTGCTCACACTTCAGTCTGGATGTTTTCTTCTGATCTAGCTTCTGTCTTCTAACTGTTGTCATCTATGTCTTCGTATCTTGTAAACCTCTGTGAAGACCTTAATTTCATTTACTGCCTTTTTTCAGTTCTATAGTTTCAGAGTGTGTATTTTTATAGTTCTTGTTTCTGATTCAGTATTGTTCTTTAGTTCCTTTTACATATTAAACTTACTTAATGTCTCACTGAGAATTCAATTATCTGCATCCTCTGAGAGTCTGTTTCTCTTGCTCATTTTTCTTCTTGGTTCTCAGTCAAATATTATCTTGTTGAATGCCAGGTTATTTTGTGTTGAGTGTCAGTGGTAGTATAACAAAAATTGTAGAGATAAGTTGGAGTTGTGGGTGGTGATATCTTTCTCCAGTATTTACTTTGGCTTCTCATAGGCAGCTAGACTAGGGACATTAGGATTCTTAGATGACTTTAATCACAAATTGATATGTGTGGAAGTTTGGCATCAGCTCAAAGGATTGGTTTTTTGATTTAGACTTTATTAAAGGGTAGCCATTTTGGGTTGGTATCTGTTAACCTGTTGCTCCTGTAACAAATTACTGAAAACTTAGTGGCATAAGAAAACACAGATTTATTCTCTTATAGTTCTAGAGGTCCGAAGTCTAAAACTTGTCTTACAGGGCTAAAATTAAGGTATCAGCAGGTTGTTTTCTTTTGGAGGCTTCAGGAAAGAATCTGTTCCTTGCTTCTTTCATTTTCTAGAGGATATGCATATTCCTTGGCCCATAGCTGCATCACTCCAATCTCTGCTTCCATCTTCACATGGTCTTCTCTCTTAACTTTGATCCTCCTGCTACCTACCCTCTTATAATGATGTTTGGGGGTTATATTGGGCCTATGAAGATAATCCTGTATATTCTCCCCATATCAAGGTCCTTAACTTAATCACATTTGGAAATTCTGGGTATTAGGGCAGAATTTGGGGAGGTCATTCATTATTCATCCTAGCACAGGGTCCCATCGTAAAATCTGAGCTAACTGGCTCATCCTGCTGAGCAGGTTCTGAAACCCAAGTTTTGCCCTCTCAGCTCCCAATTCTACTGTTTCTTAGCCTATCAACCTCTACTTTTGTAGGGGAAAGGAAATGTCAAATGCTGGACTGCCTTTTTGAGGATTCCTTCTGTCACAGATTCTCACTGTTTTGATAGCTCTCTGAGGCCTTCAGACATACCCGGTTTTTTTAGTATTTTTGCCCAGCTTTGCTTGTTCTTAGTGAGAAGGTTGATCCCAAACAATGTAGTCTTCCATTTATTTACTTTTTTGAGCATTGAAGTCAGTGCATTCTGCCACATCTTAAGCATTATAGGTTTCATTGTCTTTATTTTACATTTTTAAAGATTTTATATTCCCTACTTGCTTTATTTGTTGCATTACTTGAGTTAGAAGTGAAAATTTCTGAAGGTCAGTTAGTATAAATTTCTCTTTAATGTATAGGCAGACTTTGGACAGCTTTCTTAGTCTTCAGAGTGAAGTTTTGCCATTTTTCGCAAGCTAGTGGGTTGTGATATGTTAGCCTGGCTTTGTTTGTTATAGTGATCATATTTGAAGAACTTAAAGCTAAATATACAAGTAAATTGAACATACATGTGAACAGTGGATTCTCTCAGCTTCTTAGATACTTATCCATATAAATTTTGAAGTAAAATTTGTAGTTTTTACTTAAAGTGTTGTTTTCTTTCAGTATGAAGGCTTAGAGTCATCATTAAAGGATGCTAGCTTTGAGAAGGAGTCATCAGAAGCACAAAGTTTGGAGGTAAAAACAAATAATAGGATCATAAAAGCTGAGGGGAAGATTTTTAGTGAACAGCATAAACTTTAATGTATCTTCTCAAAACTATTTCAAAGGACATGTGAAAAAGCATGTCTAATGTTAAAACTTAAAAAGTTAAATATGGGAAATAGAACATTAGCAGGTAGCATAAAATATAACAATTTGAATTCTTGTAGCAAACTTTCTTTGAGTGAGGCATACTCAGCTCATTGCAATCTAGGGCTATATGGAAGCTCTTTCCTCTTCATTCCTCAGAAATATATTAAGATAGCTATTCCTTTTTTGACCTGGTTTTGCTACAGAAAGGAAAAATAGCATTCATTTTAATAAATTTAGGAATAATTGGTAACAATAAACTATGCAAATTGTGGCTGTACTTGCCGTTAACTTCATCCCTAGTATATTTAGGAGCTGACTACAGTTAGATCAAACATTTATATTATAAGCAGTGGTGTGCTGGTAAATGTTTAACAACTGGCTCTCTGAAAAGCAGAAGCCCTTTTTAGTATTTGTTGAATTCTGCTGGGTACTCCTACCATGACCAGTTTCAAGGTACCAGCATGACATCATTGAATGTTTAGTTTGGAAGATATATACGTAGTTGGTTCTTCTCAGCCAGGTATCATTTGGCTAATAGTAAGGAGGGAAGGCATGATAATTTGTCATTTAGCTGAACTATGCCAGATTAGGGTAAATAATAAGTGCCTTACTACTGTTCAGAGATGGAAGCATTGTAAAAAGCATACTACTAATAAAGTAGTGAACAACAGACTTTGTACCATTGGTGGCATACGTGTTCCGTCAGTCCATCTTGGCAGCTCTCACTCAGTGATGTTTGTAATCATCAGAAAGTCTATGTATCATGATTCAGAATTTCTTAGTAGAGTCCAAAGGAAATTATAAATTGAATTCCATATGAAATAAATTTCTTAATATTTTCTTTCTTCATTTGTAAGTTATTAATATCCTCAAAAACTTGCTGAAATTATTTTTTTATTTGTTGACTGTTTTAATACCCATTCCAGGAGTAATTTATTGGTATGATTAAAAATGAAAGAATTAAAAAAAGACAGAAAGGATTTTAGAAGGCATTTATTTAGCACACCAACAGAAGAGCAAAGACGAGAGCAAAGGCATATACCCAAGCTTGGTAGTGTTGTTGGTTAAATAAAACACACCGATTTATTCTCAAGGTATTGAATTTACATAATGAGGAGTAAAATTAGCTGAATTTTTGCTTTAAATGAACATTTTGGAAAGTTTTCTATAAGTTTAGCAATTTTTAAAAAAGTGTTTTCAATATTTGTAAACGTAGTTGAATATAACCTATAATACAAAATATTTGATGGTTGAATCTATAGATAAAATTAAAATAGAGTAATTTTGATTCAAGTCAGAGAATTCTTATCAAATAGTCAAATTAGGGGAAGCACATATAAGTAGGTTTTTATCTACTATACTATATGGTATGTACTTCTGCTTTTATTTTGGCTGGCATTAAATTCTTTGAATCTCGGTTTATTTTTTTTTTAACAAGTTTGTTGAAGAATCACAAATATCAGAGGTATGTTTATTATAGCATTTAAAATCCAATTGGAATACTCTAATAATGAATCATTTAATTAAAGTGATCACGATCACAGAAAATATATAATTTAATGTAGAGTATTACTATGAAGCAGGCTTGATTGTTTTTGAGTTTATTTTTAAATTTTATTAAGTCTAATTATATTAAATTTGATTTATTTCTCATTTTTCTCTTCATAATGCTTTAAAGCAGAGGTTGGCAAACTAGACTCTGGGCTCTCTGGTTTTGTAAATAAGATAATTGGAACACAGCCATGGCTGTTCATTTAGTATTATCTTTGCTTTCTCACTATATAGTTATAGTTGAGTAGTTGGGACAGAGACTGCATGGCCTGCAAGCCTGAAATATTTACTCTCTGGTTCTATATAGAAAACGTTTGCTGACCCCTGTTAGAATTGCTGTTACTTAAATGTCATAAGAATAAACAAATATATAAACTTATTTAACTTTTAGTATATATGATTGATTATAGTAATCTGATTAACTCTAATCAAAAATTCCTATGTCGATCTTATAAAATTGCTTTCCTCTTTTAGGCAGTCTGTGAAAAGCTAAACGGGTCCAAATCTGAACTTGAGGATGAAATATTTTTTCTAGAAAAAGATTTAGAAGAAGAGAAATCTAAACATTCTGAACAGGATGAATTGGTAAGGCTTTTGTATTTGTGGAGACTGTAGGAAAAAGAAAGTTATTGAATCCTAAAAATTTAAGATGATACCAGTTACAGTATTGCATGCACTGTAAAAAGTCCAAAAACTATGAAAGTTTTAAAGTGGAGAGTAAAATTTTGCAGATCCTGCAGCTCTTTTCATTTACTAGAAGTTGCTATTACCATGTTAAGTTTCTTGCATATTCTTATAGAAATTTCTGTATGAACTATGAAATTCCATATGGAATTATGGAAATCACATAATTTAAGTTGAATAATCAAATGTATAGTGGATCTTTTTTATTACGGACATTTTAGTTTTCCTTTATTTGTTATTCTATTTTAGTATGTGTCTTAAGGAAGATCTTGATGTGTGTGAGATTATTCAGTAAGATATATTAATGGGTTATCTTGAGACTTTGTAACTTAAATGTCATGAAATATTAAAGATGCGATGAAATACTGTTGTTAGGTAACTTCCGTATAAATCCCTTTAAGCACGTGGCTGGGAAGATTTCTTAATGTAAGCTCTCATTTTTTGAGCAAAAGTGTTTTGCTAAAAATTTATCTAATATATATAGCATCTGGAAGATTTAGTAAATATTTGTTTATTGACTGATACTGTCTTTCTAGATGGTGGATATTTCAAAAAGGATACAGTCCTTGGAAGATGAATCAAAATCCCTGAAATCACAAGTAGCTGAAGTAAGTTGAATTAACCTAATAGGTATGTTGCTTTTGAAAATTGTGTTTACTATTTTACTATTAAAGAATAAGATACATTAGAATTTGAGTTATAGGAGTCTTAGATGCGTAGTTTTTCTCTACAGGGTACCTCAGGAAAGTTAATTTTTTCATGGGACAAGTATTTGAGCTATTGCTATATATTGGTCACTGTTGAAGGTGCTGGGCACTTGACATTAGTAGACAAAGTAGAAACACTCTCAGGGAGTTTAATTCTGGTAAGAGAGATAATAAGTTAACAAAATTTGCTACATATTAAGAGGTGTACAGGAAGTTAAAACATTTGTCCAAGGCCACATGGTAAGTTAGTGGCAGAGCCATGACTAGATCCTAATTCTAGGCCAGCCTTTTTTCTGCTATACCATGCTACCTCTTCTGTTAATATCTATATGCTTTTTACTTTAATCCCATGTTGTAGGCATTAAGTGTAAATAAGACCTACTGTATATAATTAATTCTTATAAATTTGATAATGTATTTTACATAGGCCAAAACAACTTTCAAAATTTTTCAAATGAGTGAAGAACGACTTAAGATAGCTATAAAAGATGCTTTGAGTGAAAATTCGCAACTTCAGGAAAGCCAGAAACAGGTTGGTACTATATGGGGATTCTTCAGCTTGTGAATATATAATTATAAATGTTCTGGACATACTCATGACTGACCAGTGGGCAAGTGTAGGTTTTTCCTGAAGAACACTAGAGCAGAACAGTCTCCTAAATATCCTTCAGTGTCTCTTCTGTACAGGATACAATAGTATATACTCCTAGTACCCTCTTCCCCCAAGAGTGAAGTTGCTTTCAGGGCATTTAGCATTTTGATAATCACTAAGCAAATAGCATTTAGCACTAACTTCTCAAAGCCAGACTGAAGGAGGGCAGAGAATAGCCACTAGAGTTATTGAAGCTATGGGTCTGGGGCCTTAAAAATAAAAGCAGTTCTGCTGGTAGATCAAGTGAGAATTTCTTTCAGTCTCTTCCTCCCTTATGTGTATGTGTGTCTTCCCCCATGTGTATGTGTGTAGATACTCCCACATACCCAGATTTACTTACTCACCCACTCTTCTCCCAATACAGTTATAGTGTTTCAGTGGGAATATTTTCAAGTGATTATGTTATTTACAATTTTCTAAATATTACAGCAGAGCTACATTGTATGTGTTGTGATTACATATTCTGCTTTACCCAACATTTTATTTGCCCTTAAGCTAATAATTGTCATTTCCTATTTACCTATCTTTAATTTATCTGTATATGTTCTTCTAGAGATGTTAATATTTATGCATTCAAATGCTTTGGTTAATCTACTGATTTCATTTTTTTCTTGAAGCAATCCTTCCTGGGGCCTTCTGTCCTCCTATGTCTGTTAATGCTTCTGTTGCCCTGAGATTTCATTTCACTCCCATCCTCCTGCTTGTCTTGGATATTCTATTCCTGTATCTAAGACTTGCTTTTCTGTGCTTAATTCTCTTGATTAGCTTCCTGACAGAGAGGTGTGAAGTTAACTTTAAAAAATTGCATGCCTGAGAATGTCTTCTTCTGTCATTGTTACTGGCATTTTGTTTGGATATCTTCTGGGTTGAACATTTTTTTTCTTGCAGTTTTGATATTGATCCATTCTATTCACTTGGCAGTATTGCTTTTGAGAAGTCAAATGCTATTTAGATTACTGAACCTTTTTGTTATCTGCTCTTTGCTTCCCTGTAAGCTTTAAATATCATTCATTATTTCTAGTTCTCTGAAATTTTTTGATGATGTGCCGTAGTGTGAGTCTTACTTCATACATTAGTTAAACACTCTCAGTCTGGGAACTCTCTTAATTCAGTTCTGGGAAATTTATGTGAATTACTTCATACTTTTTAGGGGTATTTCTCATGATATGGTAATCATTTGAAGATAACTTCTTTGGTTTCTTTGTCTCTATGATTCACTCATTTATCTGATATTTTTGTTTTGCTTATTCTTTTTTTGTTTCATGGTTTTATCTTCTTGATGAGGATATGTAATTTTTTTCTTTGTTGAAATGTTTTTCAGTTCTCTGAGTTACCTTATTTCCTTTGAGTTCCTTTATTTTTTGTTTTGGTCTGTGTCTTTTATCTAAGAGTTTCTTTTCTCAGATATTTGGTGATTCATAGCTGTCTGCTCATTTAATAATGAAGCTCTCCACATGTAACTGGGAGTTCTGTGTTTGTTGCTCGTGGCTCTTTTATAGGGTAATTTGATAGGGTGTTTTGCTGAAGGATCCCCATATACTGATATCGGAAGGCCATTTTCCATAGGGATCATTCTTGCATTGTTTCCATTGGAGAGGTATGCCTACCTTTGCTAACACTGAGATAAACAGCTTAGTGAGGGAAGGAGTGCTGTATCTCACTATTTAGAAAGTCAACTTTCATTTAATAATCACATGTTTTCAATATTTTACTCACACCTCCGCCTGGGCCAGGTGTTCCACAGTTTTAGGTTCCACCTCTCAGGAGAATAACCCTCTAGGCTTTTGCCAGATGTGTTATGTATGCCTGAAGTATGTGTGTGTGTGTATGTATGTGTATGTGAAAGATGGGATGGGTAGGAGGATTCATTGAGAATAAGAATGTGTGTATATGTATGTGTATATACATGAGAACATGGGGGACTAACTGCTTTTTATAGATGCTTTTAGGCAGTTCTCTTTTTTTTTTAATCCTACTTAAACCTCCAGTACTAGTGACTCCAAATTATGAGCATTTCTGTGTTTTATCAGATCAACTTGCCTTAGATTTCAGCTCTGGTCTGCTAACTTTTCCATGATGTTTCTCTTTTTCTACTTTCCACTTCTAGAATTACCTTTTTCTTCATCACCTATTCTCTGTTCTCCTTGTGGTTTGTACCTTTAAAAAAATTTTTTTTTACTAAACTCCTTACTTTCATCTTTGTAGACTTCAGGAGACAGTGGTGGTAAACCCTGTGTTAAATTTGCTGTTAAAAAAAAGTGCCTTTTCTACCTTTAAAAAAACTTCATCTACTTTGTCTTACTCTTTACAGCTGCTTTTGTTTAGTTCTTTTTTAATCACCAAAGTTCTCGAAATGAATTATTTTGTATTCATTGGTTCTGTGTTCTAATGCACACCTTCTCTAATCTTTCAAGACTGCATGCCAAATATGCAAGCAATTTCTTTAGTAACTCACTAGAGATCACCTGATCACTAAAAATACATTTTTTCTTCTATCATTTGTTTTTAATTTGTCATGTCATCTTATTCTATTATATATACATAAAAAAGGATTAGCTTTCCCTGTACTAGGAAATATGCTAATGAAGTATTAGTTTTGCAGAGAAATCCAATAATTACTGTTTGAGAGAATAGAGTTCTAAAAACTTTAAATAAATTTGGGCTTTCTTTCATAAATATATGGGCTATTTCTTTTGTGAATTGTTTACTTATTTTTTTGCCTATTTTTCTTATTGACTTCTAAGAGCTCTTTTGCATATTAAAGTTACCAACACTTTGCTACATATAAGAATGACTTTTTTGTCACTTCTTTGGTTTTAGATTTTATTTCTGTTATTTTTTGATTTATGGAGCTTTTAAGCATTATGTTGTTAAGTCTGCCTTTTTTAATCTTTATCTTTTGAGTCATGTTCAGTTTGTATGTATATGTATTCTTTCCTCTTCAATAAAGTATATACAATAAAAGATTGTTTATGCAGAATTTGATGTGTTCCAAATTAACAGTATTTCTGAGGGTTAGTTATTTTAACTATAGAACAACACATGATTAAAAAATAACATTTTATTGCAAGTAAGGTATAACATGTTATATGGGATATAAAAAATGGTAAGAAATGACCAAATCTAATTCATATATATGTCTCAGAAAGCCTTTCATTTGATAAATTAGTTATGTAAATCAGTTGAACGATGTTATTTTACGTTACTCCTCTTTTGGAAGCTCTTTGAAAACAGGAGTACCCTGTCTTCTTCCATCCTATCTTTCCTCCTATGCCCCTTTCTAGCAATACATTGTTTTGTGTATCTGTAAATGATACACCTAAATGTGTAAATAAATGTATCTATACATAAGTATGATTAATTTGCTTGCTTTTCCTTTTTTTGTGGGGTTTTAATTTTAGCTTTTACAAGAAGCTGAAGAACTTAAAGAACAAGTGAATGAACTAAATAAACAGAAAATAACATTTGAAGACTCCAAAACATATGTGGAACAAGTTCTGTATGATAAAGAGAATCAGATCATGGTATGGTTCTGCTGGTTTTAGAGCTGAGTCAGCTAGAATTTTATACTAATTCTGAAATTTGAAAAGTTTTGTTTTTAGCAGTTTTATTTTGATAATTTATTTGGCCAAATTTGAGGATGTCTGCTATTTTGGCCTACAATTTAATTTGTACCAGTATTATAATCCTTGCTACCAAGAGCTCCTTGAAGACTTGTAGTTTTGTAGTATATATATATCAACATTCTGTGTGTCCTTTTTTTCTTCTCTGTCTTTAGCCTAGGTATTTAATGAAGAAAGAGAAATGATGGATTTTACTTTTGTCTTTGGACTGCCATCTGTTTCTGATGATAAGAAGAGGTTGGAGTTTTAGAAATTGGACAGATGAACTTACATGTATTGGCTGAATATCTTTAATACCTAAATTAGCAGTTGTATATAACTCACAGAGATGAATACTTTTTAAAAACTAAATCTAATGGAAACTTGACTATAAAAGGAATGAAATAATTGATATTACTGTTAGGATTTGTTAACTTTTTCCTACTTCCTGTCTCCCCTTTTAACCCTTTTTCTGCCTACTTTTAAAATATTTTATGCAAACAGATACTCAAGTGTGAGTATCTATTCGTAAGATATAAAATTAACATTCTGTAATCTGCACAGTGAAGTGGATGTTATCTTGGAAGCTCTACATTTATGTTCTTTATGTTGCTACTAAGAATGTTTTAGGAATTGTGTTCATAATTTGACATACTATTTTATTTTTTTCCCTAAACTTACTGTGCTAGAGGATTTGGGATTCTTAAATAGAACAAAAATGAGATGTTAATCTCAAACTCTAGTCAGCGCTGTAAGCCATGTTATTTGTACCTAGAATTCGCAAGAGGAAGGAGATGAAAGGGTGAAAATTGCAGAGCAGAATGGGTTACTAGGTGGGTCCTTCCATAGAAATACACAGCACAGTGATTCTCTTACCTGTAAGTGCTAGATAATCATACTTTGTTCAGGAAAATTCAAGAAGTGCTGTTGAATCGGAAAACTTGTAATATTCCTATTCAGATTCTCTTTAACAATTTTTTTTCTTTATTTCAGTTGAACTCCTCAGCTGGATGTAGACTTGAATAAATTGAATCTGTGAAGTCTGTGATCTTTCCATAGATTATATATTTCACTTGCTGATTTGTTTGACTTCACAAGATTTACTGTCATGTTAATGGCCATTCTTATTTGTGACATGAGAAATGTCATACAAATGTTTTGCCATAAGGAAAACATCTTGTTACTTTATAGTCATGTGACATATGTGACAAAAATGGGCCATTATCAAGTATTGTATTTGATTTCTAAATAACCACTTTTGGTTTTTAACTTGCAGAGTTTAATAGAGTTTTTCAGAGTATTTATACATCTTAATACTAGGTGGAACATAAGACCTTATGTTGTTATCTATGTGGATTGATTTTTAAACAGCTATACATTCAGAAGTTGTAAAGACGTTAGCATAAGGCATTGTCTTATCTTTTTTTCCCCCTTTGCTAAATATCAAGTCTCTGACTGAACGCTTGCTAAAGATGAAAGATTGGGCTGCTATGCTTGGAGAAGACATAACAGATGATGATAAGTTGGAATTGGAAACGAAGAGTGAATCAGAACATGGTGTGCACTTAGGTATTAAGTAATGACATCCTCTTTTGCTAAAAATGATGAACTAGCTCTTGTATTTCCTTTAGTTCATGTACACACTTATACACTTCTACTTTGATACATCTTGTCCATCTGTCTCTAATATTCTGTCCCTCTCTCACCATCCCTTATAGTTAAGCTTCAGCTAAAATACCACCTTTTTAGTAAATCTTCCTTCAACTCCTCAGATAGACTTATAGCCTCCTTCCTGTCTGTTCTTTTTCTATAATGTACATGTCTTCATTATAGCAGTATTCATACTGCATCCTAATTATTTCAATGCCTGTTTTTCCCTGTACTGTAAGCTATCACATGGATTGGTATGTAGTTTGAAAAATGAGTGTTTTATAGAAGAATACCTTAGGATGCTTTATTTTTGCTTTAGTCAGTTGGTCTGGACGGTTAAAGTACTTCAGTCTTAGCCATCCCAAGTTGTTACTGCCATTGCTGGTTGCAGTCTGGAAACTCAGGCATGAGATTAGTTCACTATAGCTACTCACTGTATTCTCAAACTAATCATATTCCCTTAAATTTGAAAAATTTTTGACATAATTGTAGACTCACAGGAAGTTGCAAAAAGAGTATAGAGAGGTCTTGTGTGTCTTTCACCTACTTTCTCCCAATGGTAGTTCTTCTGACTTCAGTGCCCTTTCTCTTTTCTCTCCCTCCACCCCTTGCATAATTAACAAATTCATTAAGAAAGGAGAAGGTATGATTTGTAAATTTTTTTCTTTGATGATAGCATTAATGCAGTGGAAGAAAATTATATTCTCAAAGTAAATGCATACATTTCTGTTTATACTTTTTCACTTTTTTATCATGTAAGAATAATTCTTTTTCCAATGAGAAAACTCAGGCTTGCTTAAAATAATTGATTTTCAGTCTAATTCCACTTATTTACTATGCTGAAGGATTCCAAGAACCGTTGAGACTATGACTGTATTTAGGTGAATACAAAAGCCTTGTTTTAACTCTGTTCTTTGAGTTAGTGGTGAGGAACCTTTTAAAATGTTATGGTATTTCCAGTGCTTTTATTGTTTAGTCTCTTGGGAGCACATCCAAGCCATTATGTAAAATTCCTTACTGTACTAAGAAGAGGAGTAATAAGGCTCTAGTTAGATGAACTAAAATCATTTTGATGTCTACTGTGCCATTGTACTGTTTTCCCAATTTATTGTCGTTTATTTATTTATTTATTTTTACTATAGATAATCAGCCGAAAGGAGCTTTGAAGAAACTGATTCATGCTGCTAAGGTTTGCATTACTACATATGAAGAATATAGATGAAGAAATAGAACTTGGATTAAACCCTTATGTTCTTAGTAACTATTTTAGAAGTCAACTTTATAGTCACCATACAAGTGATCAGAATTTTTATCATTTTCTTTTGTCTTTTTAATAACTTCAGAAATTTATATTGTTAATTTTTAGAGTTTATCATAATAAAAAATTGCAAGGTCTGCACTCATTCCTTTAAATGAATGTACATTAAAAAATGTTTACTGTATTTTCTTTCATACTACCCTCTTAGAGCATTCTTTTTCTTGGTCTTAGTATTTTCCTATTCTTATTGCCCCAGATCTTATTTTGAGAAGTAAATACTAGGTTTATTTTCTTCTGGTTTATCCTTTTCCTCTTCGATCCTAGTAGTTACAGTATCCTTATCTTTACCAATCCATCTGAAGTCTTGGTAATATAGTTTGAAGGTGGCTGTAATAAGAATTTGTGTGTTGAAAGTAAACAGAATGAAAACAGTCACTGTTTTTAAGCATTTGTCATGGATCTTCTGTGTCTGAAATTTACAACTATGGATGATATAACTTTCTGAGATGGAAGCTGCATTGCTGGTTCATGTATGCTAGGCAGTAATTTCATCAAAGTGATAAAAGAGCTTCAAAAGATTGGGGTGGTACATCAATATTTTGTTTGCTTATTTTTTTTTTGGAATAATTGATTAATGTTGCTTTTTTTCCTTCTCCCATTCTTTGAAGTTAAATGCTTCTTTAAAAACCCTGGAAGGAGAAAGAAACCAAATTTATACTCAGTTATCTGAAGTAGATAAAAAAAAGGAAGAGCTTACAGGTAATCTACTGCTTCTAATGTTTTCTAAATAAATACATCTCCTTACAGAGAATGGTATTAACTGAATCAATTATGAGGAGATACATTTTGTTTTTTACTTTTACTTTTGTTTTTTATTTGTGAAAATTAGTCTTGAGTTTTTTGTTGTTGGTAAATAAAGCCTTATCGGTTTCCTCCATATTCATATGAAGTTAAAATAATGAAATTATTTAAAAACATGTAAAGCCATACTTACCTTTGAATTTCAGTATTGTATGTGTGGTATGGTTTTAGATGTTAAAAGGTAGAAAATTGAAACTTAATTTTAAACAATCTTTGTTAATTGCAGAATTGATCTTCAGTAGTGGTACTATGTTTTATAGATCTTTCTTTTCACAGTATAATTTGCTCCTTGTCTAAATCAAACAACCCTAATATCAATATGCACAATATATTACCACAGATAGGTATGATATTAGACCTGTGAAACTGAAGGTTTTTTTTCATTGAAAACATTTTTATTGATTTTGCCAATAGTTTTTTAAAAAAGTGAACAGATTCTGTCAGTTGTGCTTGAAACATTTTTATGTTGATAGAAGTAACATCTCATTAAAAAAAAATTCACCTTAACCATTTACATAAAAAAAAGAATGGCAGGACATAAGCAAATGTCAACAGTGATTATCTTTGAATATGGGATTGTGGATAGATTTTTATTCTCTTTTTACTTATCTATTTTCAAAAATTTCTATAAGTGAACTGTATTTATATTGAAACCCTTTTTTGAAAAGGTTGAACCACTGAAGATATTTATAAAAATTTTCATAGCCCTTTTGTAGATGATACTGTAGTTAGATTTTATAAAAATTATCATAGCCCTTTTGTAGATGATGCTGTAGATTATTTTTGGATTTTGAGAAACAGTATTAACTTAAAAATAAAGTTTTGCTCTATATACTGCATAGTACAAAACTAAAAGCCATGGGAGGTTCACAGAAGGAAAAGAGAATGGAACCTGCTTTCAAGGAAGCTATATTTAGTATATTAACAGATACTCAGTGAGGAACTGTGTGTATTAAGTACAGAACAGCAAGGAATTTGCTCATCAGTTACCCCATCCCTTTGTACAATTTTTTAACAAATCTTAATTATTTTTTAAAGCTAGTATTTGGAAACCCTATGTCTGCTTATACCCTTCTCCCAAATCTAATTTGCTTTTTTTAATGGATAATGAAAGATAAATTTCTATAAGTGATTTTCTATCCATAACAGGAAGGTTCTCTTTTAAACTGTTTTCCCTCTTCTCCTGTCTGTTTTGGTAGTCATTTACAGTGCTCTTTTAAGATACAGAGAAGTTAAAACAAAATAGTTATAGTAGAAGTACAAAGATATAGTGATGGCTTAAGTGTCGCTTTATAGTTTCTTTTTTCCCAATAGGGATGATACAATTTTAAGAAGGATAATATCTGACATTAATGTTTGTTAAATGATTGTTCTTGGCAATGGCTTAAAGCCTAAGTCAACATATTCTTTTCTGTTGTAAAAAAAATTTCTATGGATAGACAGATGTGCATCATTTCCTGTGCATTTAATCACTGAATGTATTTTCTTAAACTGTCCTTTTGGTGTGTAAATTTAATAAATGAATAATTATATACATTAAATAATTATATATAGTCTCCAATATATTAATGCTCATTAGTATGATTTTGTGATTTTGAAATTGCCGCCTTTAGGCAGAGTACGTTTTGCTTTATATTAAGAATTGTTGTGTTGATTCATACACATTTTAGGAGATGGCACCTCACTCTTAGAGGAGTTCAGAGTTGAGATTATTATATTGGGAAAGAAATGAGTTTTAAAAAAGCACTAATTATAAAGCATTCATAATTATTTAGAATTCGTAACTATTTAGAATTGTTAATTTTTGTTTTTAATAGATGATTCTTCTAGGTAGTTTAGCAGTTGAAACAAAGCCAAAGTTGGTATTTCTCCTGTCTTGATCTGTTTTAAGCTAGCATGACTTTGGAGCATCTATTATCAGAAGAAGCAAATTTCTGGCTTGATTTACATATCAAAATTTTGGCTTAAAAGGAGGCTTGGTAGAAGTTAAGTATTAGCAAGTAAACTTTTTACTCAATAAAAGCAGGCATTGTTCATCATGTGGAGGTTGTTTCACAGGGAATGTTAAACTAAGATATTTTCCTTCAAAACTCTAGCCCCCAAAACCTTGAGAATTTTAGTGGCTTTTGGCTCCTAGCCTGACAATTAGATGCTAGCATTAGAATATTGGAGGTTTTGGGAACTCTTTAAATAATGAAAAGATTTATAACAATTCATGTGTCTCTTTAATTAAAATATTAAAAAACAGGTGAACAAAATATAGATTTTCTTTTGGAAAAAAATTTAGTTTATTAAGAAGTTATTATTTTTGGTAATTTTTATCTTTAGGAAATGTTAATGTGTATCTCAAGATATTCCTTTAACTGTGATTTTGAATTTTCTATAGAGTGTATTAAAAACTTTCAGACTGAACAAACATCTTTGCAATCAGAAAAAGCACAGTTTGAAAGTGAGAATCAAAAGCTTCAGCAGAAACTTAATGTAATGACTGAACTGTATCAAGAAAATGAAATGAAACTTCACAGGTAATAAAAATGCTGCTGCCAAGTCCACTGAATGGCAAGTAAAATAGCTTAAAAATATTGCACATTCAGCTTATGTGATGTTCAGAGTTTTCAATATATGGTTTGGTTATATTTCATCAGTTTAAGAAAGTTATGCAATCTTGAAACTTTTTCTTCTGAATCTGACTACTTTTTTCCACCTGCTATAGTACTAATAGGATCCGAATCACCATCATGTAGTGCCTGGTTTATTGCAGTGGCCTCATGCGTAGCTTCTCTCTACCCTTAATTTCATGTACTGGTTTTCAACAGCATGACTCTTCTAATACTTGATTATGGGTATTGTCACTCTTGCTTGGAGTCTCCTAGTGCCTTCACTTAGGATTTAAACCGGAGCTTTTTTCTTGGCCTACAAGACCCTGTAAGATTTGGCCCCTGGCTACCTCCTTAATTTTAGCTTATTCATTTATTGTTCCCTCACTGCCCTTCACCCACACCGGCCTTCTTGATGATCTCTAGCATGACATGCACATCTGTACCTCAGCGCCTTCTGCCCTTGCTTCTTCTGCCTGGGATGGTGTTTGAGCCAATTCTTCATTTCATCTGGGTGTAGGTCCCCATTTTGCCTCAAAGACTCCTTCCCTGCTACCCTAACCTAAATAATACCTGCCGTTCCATGTCCCCTTCATAGGTTTTATAGTCCTCAGATGATTGATTGTCTTTTCCCTCTCCCCTCACATTAAATGTACACTCTATTAGAGAATTACTTTATTCTTTTCTCTTCTATATTCCTAGTAAATAATATTCAGGCCCATGGTAGTTATTCAATAAATATTTGTTGACTATATGAATAACTGTTTAGTGCCTTAATATACTGGAGTGAAAGATTTGTGTGCGTGTGTATTCTGAAGCGTAAATGCACAGGTACACAGAATACTGTTGAGATACCTATTTGGAGGCTACAGATTTTCAGATACCACTATAGCACCTATTTTTTATCATAAGAAAAAATGACATGTAACAGACTTTCAATTCCCTTTAAAAAATTAATGATAGTTATTACAGTTGATCCTCATTCAGAGAATCTTTATTGGTGAACTTACCTACTTGTGAAAATTTATTTGTAACCTCAAAATCATCACTCACAGAGCTTTACTGGTCATTCTTAGACATGCACAGAATGGCAAAAAATTTGTACCACCCAATTTGCATATTACCAGTTGTGCTTGAACAAGGTGATGCTCTGCCTTGGTGTTTTCAGCATTCAGTCCTTAAATCAAGTGTTCTCACAGTATTCAGTGCTATATTTTTATGCTTTTTGTTGATGAATTAACTGTTTAAAATGGTCCACAAGGGTAGTGCCGAAGGGTTGTCTAGTGTTCCTAAGTGCAGAAAGGCTGAGGTGTGCCTTATAGGGAAAGTATGTGTGTCAGTTAAGATTTTGTTCAGGCATGAGTTATAATGCTGTTGGCTATGAGTTCATTGTTAATAAATCAACAATATGTATTAAATACAGTGTCTATAAAGAGAAACACATGAAACAGGGTTATGTATTGATTGATGAAAATGCTGTGACCAGAGCTCATAGGAACCTAACCTTGTTTTTCCTTTAGGAGCAATGGTTCAGTATTTGCTAATGTAGGATTTATGGTCACTTTATAAGAAATGAAGAAATGACTAGTGGGAATGAGATTCTGTTTTGTGTATTTGGAAACTGGTAGAGAATATTAATACTCCATTGACATCAGGATGTTTGGTGATTGGTTAAGTTCTTTCACTGCTGATCATTCTTTGGATTCAGTTCAAAATTTAAAAACCTTATATTCATCATGGACCTCTGATAGGGACTGCTCAGGATATGAAAGAGAAATATGACTTGACTAAATGGAAGAGCTACAGAGTAGCTTCCAGATTTCATCAGTTGGTCTAGTAATGGACCAGTAAACCTGGAAATGGATCTTTCTTTTTAGGTTAAGATGAAAGATATTGTGAGTAAAGTTTGGACATAAAAGGGGTTATTTGATGTGAAAGGAATACTTTTGAGTGTATCTTTTAAACAAAAAATATATGGTTCATATAGAATGTAATTAGGATTATTAATTTCAAAGAAAAAACTTCTCTGTAGATATTTAAAGCAAGGATGGGAAGATGAGTAGAATCCTAGCTCTGTGTTGTTCATATTGTGATTTCACTCATTTATTTGAACTGTTTTATGAATTCCTAAAATATTGTATATTCCATTCTCATATTTAAATTAAAATATTCACTACTGAAATTCAGTGAATTTTGCCACTGGTTGTTTGTCAGAGGATAATATAGAGAGTTGATAGTACTAGTAAAATGTTAAATTCAAATTCTTGCCCATATACAGTATGATTTAGATTCAGTCATTTTATAGATCCTGGATTGGTTTTTCATGACTAATACATTACATTACTAGCACTTTTCCAAATTTAATATTTGGAAGAAGGGAAGTAGTATAACATAGATGATTAATATGTTGCTTTACATATATGATTTTTTAAAGTTATATATTGGGTTTCCTGTCTTAGTGTAATTGCGATCATTAATGAGCCCCTACCTAAATTTAAGATGGAGTTCATGGACTTTACTTCTCAATGGTAGGGGTATCAAAGAATTTCTGGCCATTTTTAATCTCAAGAATCTGTAAAAATACCCCTCTTTCCATCTCTAAGCCCAGTACACTTTCATGCTTCTCCTAAGGAGATGACTTTTATTTTCTTATTGTACCTATGAAACGGTTGACCTGGGAAGTGCTTCTAAACAATAGGTAACATAGTGTGTGGAGTGTAGAACATTACTGCTTCCCTGTAGAATTTTTTCCATAGTTTGTCATGCTTCTCCCCAAAGTTGGTGAGGAAGGGGAGGTATCCATAGTTAGGACTTCAAATGTGTTTTCCTGTGGTGTCCAGTGTTTCTTAAGGGACCAGTGATACCATGTGATAACATGTGAAACAGCAGGTATAATATAGTATAATGGAGTCACTGCTTGCTAGCTTTATGCCTTGGCTCAATTACTTAGTTTGTGCCTCATTTCTTGTAGAGCTGTGGTAATTAAGTAATATATACAAAAGTCTAAGAACATTTTCTGGAATATACTAAATGGTTCAATAAATTATCAATTGTTATTAAAAGAACTAGAAGTACTAAGTAGGACTATTACTCTACTTTTATTGGGTTCATTATAAGACTGTGTGTGTGTGTGTGTGTGTGTGTGTGTGTGTGTGTGTTTGTGTGTGTGTATGAACTTGCCTGGAAGGCTAATTACGATTTTAACAACCAATTTAAAAATTATTGAAATACCAGTAATTGGGGACTGCTTATCTAATAAATGCAATGCTGCTTTATACAGGAAGGCTTTACAAATAATATATAGTTAAAATATTTTTAATATTTACCTTTGATAATCTTATTTTTATGGTAAATTCTTATAGAAAACTAAACTTTTATATTAGCAGTACTCTGTTAGACAAGATCCTTTATAATTTGAACTTATAATATCAAATTCTATACTAGCCATATTTACACAGGTGCTTTTTTTCCTTCTTGTGATGTTTTTAGTGGTATGCAGTTTGCTTTATGGAAATCAATTGTGATATAATTAAAAAGATATAATTGATTATTACACTTAGTAAGCAAAAATAAAAACACATTTTGTTTTAAGGAAATTAACAGTAGAGGAAAATTACCGGTTGGAGAAAGAGGAGAAACTTTCGAAAGCAGATGAAAAGATCAGCCATGCAGTTGAAGAGCTGGAGACCTATAGGTAGTAAATATATTTTACCCCTTCTTCAGGTGGGGAGGTATCTAACAACCCAATATCAGAAAAAATAATAAAGCAACAACATACTTTTGTTTCATTGTTGTTCATTTAGATGTTTTGCTATTATGCAATGATACAGAAAATATAAAAAGGGAAAAGTGTTTTTCTTTCAGAGTGTGTAATTTTAAATCTCTCACATTAGGTGTATTTGAATATGGGCAATCCTATTTTATGTTACTATCAAGAAATTTATGAGTAGTCATTAATTTCAAGATCTTTCCTCTTTGGCTCAAATGGGGCAGAATGCATACAGTATTAATGCATTCACCAAGTATGTCACAAGAAGAGTGAACCACAATTGAAGTTCTGAAGAAGGGAGAAGGGTTTATAAGACTATAGTCTAGTTTTTTCCTTGGTTCACTACTCAGTAGTTCCATGGAAATTATAGAAAACCTAGAGAAAATAAGGGGGCAGGATTCAGCAGTGTCCTAAGTAGTTGTGATACCTCATTTTACATTTGGAAAAGTAAAGTTGAGTTTTATCCAAAAGAAGGAATTATGTTGTTAGTCTTATAAAGGTAATAAGTAACATTTTATTTCATACAGATCATTGACTTCCTAGAATTTTATTAAGATTACCAGCATCTGAATAAATCTTCCAAGAGCACGCATCTTAAAAATAAAAACAAACCGGTATATCATATGAATCTTTGCATGACCTTTAGTTTAGGTTAAACCAAGTAGTAGTACCCTTAAAGCTTAATTAATACTAAAATTATATCAGGAAAAAATATACTTTAGAACCTCATAAAGGGTGATTAATATATGGAGTTCTGGAGTTATTATTCACATGAAACAAATGTTTACATGAAGCAAAATTAATATTTCAGTAGAGGCAGTGTGGTCTATCATTTCTTAATATGCATTAATAGTAGAATGATTATTTGTTCCTTATAGAAAGCGAGCCAAAGATCTTGAAGAAGAATTGGAGAGAACCATTCATTCTTATCAAGGGCAGGTATATATGTATGTGTGTATGTGTGTGTGTGTAACTTAAGCAGTTCTGATTTCTTTGAACTGGTATCTTTTTTTTTGATGCAGGTATGTAGTTACTTGACTAGTTGCACACTTCTCTTGAGGTTGTTTCTGTCTCTGTGGAACATTTCTAGGGAGCTGAAGGTTCTGGGATGAGACCTTGTTTAAGGTTGCCATGTTTCCTGCTTTCAGATTGTGGATTGAATAAGTAAACAAACATATATAAGCTGTGGGGTCTCACATTCATTTGTCCTAGTTGTCTCTTAGTGGGCAGTTTCTGTTGTAGCTGATCATTTCTTAAAACAGAAATTTACTGGATGGACAAGAATTTCAGTTGTTTTTACATTCAGTTTTTATTTTAAAGTACAGTAGAGTAGAGCATGTTTGTATGAAAATTTGCTTTAAAAATCTTACTTTTCAGAGATATTTGGGTGATTTTTGAATTTATGAGTTGTGTACTAAATCATATTGGTAGATGTGAGTGTTTTTTACTTACAAAGAATACTTATCAGTTGTATTTTAATGACTTTCTTTTTCAGATTTTTTCCCATGAGAAAAAAGCACATGATAATTGGGTAAGTATTAAATTCTCATGAGCTCTTTGTCTGATTGTTCTTTTTCCTAATATAAATGAGCAGTGTAAAGATACATATTTACACTGAACATAAAGGTAGTATTTTTAAAAAGTCAGTTTCTTTTTATTTTACAAGTAGTGAAATTATGTTCTTTGTGAACTAAATACTTTTTGTTACACCACAGTTATTCACAAAATCTGTTTTTTCCTTCTCTGCTTTTAGCACATTGCCTCTTTGCAAGGAGTTTAACTCTCTCTGGGCAGGTGATGTAATGTTCATGGATTCATTGTTTTAAGGCACTGGGTTGCCACTAATTACTTGTGGAGAACTTGAAATTCTCTGGTTATGTTTATTCATCTGTAAAACAATGGGATTAGAATAAGTGATATCTAAAGCCTTTTTAAGTTCTGAAAGTCATACGGTTCAGGTATCTGATTCTCAGTGATAAGGATGCAGGTTTTGACTGATTATAAGACTGATTCTTCTAACATGTAGAACTGTTGTAACATTTGGCCTTTGGACGATTTGAGGCAATTTGCATAGCAGGTGAATTCATGTGGTCTGGAGTCAGCCTGTCTTGGTTGGAATCATGGTTCCATCACCTGCCACTGGTTTCTTTATTTATAAGATAGACCTTTATTTATAAGATAACCTATAAGATAGATATCAATAGAACCTATTTCATCAAATTTTTGTCATGTTTAAGTAAAATAACTCATCTAAGGCTGTTAGCTAGGTGCCTGACATAGTAAGTACTCAGTAAATATTAATTCTTACTACCATTGTTGTTATACTGAAGTTTGGGAGATATTTCTTAGGCATGGATGTTTCTTGTAGTGGAGATAGGTTGAGAAATTAGATAGGTTGAATGTCAAGGCCCTTCTCAATTCTAAGATTTTGTGTATTTCTGTATTGAAGGTTCAAGTAAAATTTGTTAATTAATTAAGTTGGGATTAGAGATGAATTTTGTCTTAAAGGCTTTTTTATATATATTACTCAATTCACACAGTAACTCTGTAAAGTAGGTATTAGAATTCAAGTTTTGCAGCTGTATAAACAGCCCAAGATCACATGATCAGAATAAAGAGTGGAGATAGAAATTTTGACCATTTACATTCTAAAACTTGTGCTTTTCCTGATACCATACATTGAATTTCTTGTTTGGTAAATAGTGACATTGACTTTATATTAAAACATAACAACAAATGCCCTGTATGTCTCAAAATGAAAGGTATTTTTCATATTTTATAAAAATAATGTATACTCATTATATAAAAGTTTGGACCATATAATATAGAAAGGTACAAAGAAGTAAGCAGCAGTATCACTTTCATTTTCTTTAATTGAAGTATGGTTAATATACAATCTTATATTGGTTTCAAGTATACAACAGAGTGGTTCAGTAGTTATCTACATCATTAAATCCTCACCCCCACTAGTGCAGTTACTATCTGTCAATATAGAAAGATATTACAGTCATTGGCTAAATTCTTTATGCTCTGCTATCATCCCTGTGACCAACTTATATTATGATTGAGATTTTTTAACCCCCTCACCCTCCCCAGGCACCCATCCCAATCCCTCCTCCATGGTAACCACCAGTCACTTTTCAGCAACCATGAGACTACTGCTGTTTTGATGTTTGTTTTGTTTGGATCTTGTGTTCCACAAAAAAGTGAAATCTTATGGTATTTGTCTTTCTCTACCTGGCTTATTTCACTTAGCATAATACTCTCTAGCTCCATTCATGTTGTCACAAATGGCAGAATTTATTTTTTATGACCAAATAGTAATATGCTGTGTGTATGTACCACATCTTCTCTATCCATTCATTTATTGATGAGCACTTTGGTTGCTTCTGTATCTTGGCTACTGTAAATAGTGTAGTGATAAACATAAGGATGCACTTCCCTTTTCAAATCAGGGATTTTGTTTTCTTTGGTTAAATTTCTGAAAGTGGAGTTACTGGGTCATATGGTATTTCTCTCTTTATTTTTTTTGAGGAACCTCCACACTGCTTTCCACAGTGGCTGCACCAATATACATTTCTACCAACAGTGTAGGAAGGTTTCCTTTTCTCCACATCCTCACCAACACTTATTATTTCTTGTCTTTTGGATAGTGGCCATTCTAGCAGATATAAGGTGATATCACATTGTGGTTTTTATTTGTATTTCCCTAATGATTAGTGATGTGGTGCATCTTTTCATGTGCCTGTTGTCCACCCAATCTGTATATTTTCTTTGGGAAAATGTCTGTTCAGGTTCCCTGCCTATTTTTTAATTGGATTATTTGTTTTTTTGGTGTTGAGGTGTATGAGCTCTTTATATATTATTGATGTTAACCCCTTATCAGATAAATTATTTACAAATGCATTCTGCCATACTGTAGAATGCCTTTTTGGTCTGTTGATGGTGTCCTTTGCTGTACAGAAACTTTTTAGTTTGATGTAATCCCACTTGTTCATTTTTAATTTTGATGCCCAAAGAGATGTGTCCAGAAAAAAATCGCTCATATTTATGTTGAAGAGATTTTTGTCTTTGTTTTAGAAGTTCTAAGAGTTTCATGGTTTCATGACTTATATTTAGGTCCCTAATCCATTTCTAGTTTACTTTTGTATGTGGGGTTAGACAGTAATCCAGTTTCATTATCTTACATGTAGCTGTTCAGTTTGGCCCACACCAGTTGTTGAAGAGGTTGTCTTTTCCCTATTGTATATTCATGGCTCCTTTATCATATATTAATTGACCATACATGCATGTGGTTTTTTCTGGGCTCTCTGTTCTGTTCCATTGATCTGTGGGTCTGTTCTTGTGCCAGTACCATACTGTTTTGAATACTGTAGCTTTGTATAGAGCTTGAAGTTAGGAAGCGTAATTCCCCCAGCTTGTTTTTCCTTAGAATTACTTTGGCTATTCGGGGTCTTTTGTGGTTCCATATAAGTTTTAGAATTATTTGCTCTAGTTCATTGAAAATGCCATTGGTATTTTGATAGGGATTGCTTTGAATCTGTAAATTGCTTTGGGCAGGATGGCCATTTTGACAATATTAATTCTTCATATCCATAAGCATGGCATAGATTTCCATTTGTGTTTTCTTCAGTTTCTCTCTTGAGGGTCTTAAAGTTTTCAGAGTACAGGTTGTTTTGATGCAATTGTAAGTGGAATTGTTTTCCTGATTTCTTATCTGCTAGTTTGTTATTAGTATATAGGAATGCAACATATTTCTGTGTATTAATTTTATATCCTGCAACTTTGCTGAGTCCAGTTATTATTCTAGTAGTTTTTTGGTGGTCTTCAGGATTTTCTGTATATATCATATCATCTGCAAATAGTGAATTTTACTTCTTCCTTAGCAATTTGAATGCATTTATCTCTTTATCTTATCTGACTGGTATGGCAGGATCTCCACTACTATTTGAATGAAAGTGGTGAGAGTGGACATCCTTGTCTTGTTCCAGATCTTAGAGCTTTTTGTCATTGAGTATGATGTTGGCTGTGGGTTTGTCATATATGGCCTTTATTATGCTGAGGTAATACCCTCTAAACCCATTTGTTGAGAGTTTTTATCATGAATTGGTGTTGAATTTTGTCAAATGCTTTTTCAGCATCTGTTGAGATGATCAGTTTTTTATCCATTTTTTTAATGTGGTGTATCATGTTAATTGATTTACTAATACTGTACCATCCTTGCATCTGTGAAATAAATTCCACTTGGTCATGATGGATCATTCTTTTGATGTATTTTTGAATTTGGTTTGCTAATATTTCATTTGCTAATATTTGCATCTATGTTCATCAGGAATATTAGTGTATAATTTTCTTCTGTTGTGGTGTTTTTGTCTGTTGTTAGAGTGATACTGCTGCATAGAATGAGTTTAGAAGTATTTCCCTATCTTCTCCCTTTTGAAATACTTTAAGAAGGATGAGTATTATCTCTTCTTTAAATGTTTGGTACAGTGCAGCTGTGAAGCCATCTGGTCCTGGAATTTTGTTTGTTCAGAGTTTTTTGATTACCAGTTAATTTTTGTTACTGGTAATTGGTCTGTTCAGATTTTCTGCCTCTTCCTTGGTCAGTCTTGACCAAGGTACTCCAGAAAATTTGTCCATTTCTTCTTGGTTGTCCAATTTATTGGTATATATTATTTTTCATAGAATTCCCTAATAATTCTTTATGTTTCTGTGGTATCAATTTAACTATTCTTTTTTCATTTCTGATTTTATGTCCTCTCTCTTTTTTTCTTGCTAAATCTCTAATTAGGAGTTTGTCTATTTTGTTCATCTTCTCAAAGAACCAGCTTTTGGTTTCATTGATTTTTTTTCCTACTGTTTTATTCTTCTCCTTTTTATTTCTGCTGATCTTTATCATGTCCCTCCTTCTACTGACTTTGGGTTTCATTTGTTCTTGTTTCATTAGTTGTGAGTTTAGACTGTTTATTTGGGATTGTTCTTGTGTCTTGAGGTAGGCCTGAATTGCTATATACTTCCTCCTTAGAACTGCTTTTCCAGTGTCCCTCATGTTTTGAGCTGTTGTATTTTTGGTTTCATTTCTCTTCACGTATTGGTTGATTTCTTCTTTGATTTGTTCATTGATCCATTGAGCGTAAACTCCAGCCTTATGCTCATATCTTCTGGTTACATGAAACACATTCCCTTTTAAAAAATTCCCTAAATTAAAACTTTTTTACATTGAGTTTATTGAAATGGATATTTGCTTAAGTGTTTGTGGTACTTGTATGCCATCATTGTGATATTTATATATACTTATCTTTCATTTTAAGTGTGTATACATGTATCTTTTAAAATATACTGTTTTCTTTAAGTTGGCAGCTCGGACTGCTGAAAGAAACCTCAATGATTTAAGGAAAGAAAATGCTCACAACAGACAAAAGTAAGTATCTTAGTGGGAACACTTTAAAAACTTTATTATAGTTATCCTTAATTGTTATTTTATTAATTAGTCAATACTTTTATAAGGATTAACTAGAAACCTTGCAGTGAATCCAGCATATCTTGTAGAGAAATATCTATGGGTTTTACTAGGTGTTACTGGATTTTTAGTGTGAAACACTTTAGAGAGATTAGTTAACAGAAGAAGGAAACCGTTTGCATATTCTTTTGTAAACAGTGTAACTTCAAAATTCAAAAAAGGACAAAATCGAAACAAACCTGTATAGGTAGAAGGAGATTTACAAGGGAGGGAAGGAGAAAGAGAAAGGATGAGCCTTTGGACAAAGTAATTCTTAGAATATTGGCATCTGATAGTGAGTAAGTAGATAGAATAAATGTTTATTATTTCTGTTATCCTCTGGTTTTATTGTATTGGGTGTCATTGCTTTACAATAATAATGAAAAGGAGGATAAAAGTTTATGATGTACAAAGGGAAGAGTAAATGCTTTTCTATGAGGATTGTAGCAGTCTTCCCAGAGTGTTAAAAATTCTTGCTAGAATGTACTATTAACATTGTCCAGTATTAGTTTTAGTTTTATTCCAACCTTTTCTACTCAGAAATTAAAAACCAAATGATTAAATGTTTTATTTCAGATCTGATAATCAAGAAATAGAAATAATATTCTTAAAATATCACATTTTTAAGATAAAAAGTTTAGGCATAAAATAGTGGGATGCATTAAATTCCTTTTTTATGTTATGATTGGAATCATATGGGTAACATCATAATGGAAAGCATACGTGACTCAGAATCAGGAATCCTGTTTTTTAATCCTGACCTTTTAATTTTGAGTAAGTTATTGAAACTCCTGTCCTTAATTTTCTAAGTTATAAAGTGGTAGACCTAAAATGGGTGACTTTGGAGGAAGGACCCTGCTATTTCTAAAATTTGGATTCTGTTATACAGTACTCATTTATAGTCTAGTTTTGAAGAAAAACAGTTCCAGACCTCAACAAAACATTACTATTGCTTGGCAAAAAAGAAACCACAATAAGTAGTGTGGGATATAGAAAAGTATTTTGGTCAGAATAATTTTTAAAGAGCTATTTCTTCTATTGCAGATATTGAGATACTGAAGAGTAGGTTGTACTTGATAGTGGCATTTTTCTTGAAATGTGGGTGTTTCTCTTGGACGAGTAACTTAGAAATGTTTGTTTTTTATTTGCAGATTAACTGAAACAGAGTTTAAATTTGAACTTTTAGAAAAAGATCCTTATGCACTTGATGTTCCAAATACAGCATTTGGCAGAGGTAGTCTTTTTTTTTTTAACCCCTCATTTAAAATATACATACATACATATATATATATTATGTATATATATGTATATTGCACATACAGTTTATATTAGTGTAAATTAACACTATTATTTATAAATATTTTAGGTTTTAGAGCCAGGTTCTCTGAAATCTTGGGAGCCAAAGTCTCCCAAGTTTCTGAGTTTTGTTTCTCTACTAATAATGTAAATAACTGCTGTCACCCTAATTCAGTGGGATTTTGTAAGATGATGTCTATTTAGTATCTTGAGCTCCTTGATAGCAAAGTGCTTGGCACATAGTAAAGGACTCATTAATTGTTTTGGAGAATGAATGAATGAAAAGTGTTTAAGTGGGATAGCGTTGTAACTGTTTACATATTAATCTATGGGGTTTGCTTGAATTATTAAAATAAGTAAAACAATTGTTTTTTTATTATATAAAATACTAATTAAAAATTGGGAAACCTTAATAATCTGAGTTTGATTGCTTTAATTACACCCAGGAGAGGGAGGACATGTTCTTTGGAAGATGTATTTAATATTTCTGTCCATTTGTTAATTAGCAACTTTAATGTTCTTTAATGGTTTTGGTATTAGAAATAGCTTAAATTTTTCAAAATAATTTTGGTTGAGTTGGAATTAAGCTTCTGAGGCAGTGAAAATAAACCTATTTTTATATAGTTAGAATCCCATTTTAATAACCATTGAAAAGTTGTATAAATTACTTTTGAGAGTCCAGTTTCATTAAAATGAGTCTATTTGTACATTTTGAATAGCAGATTATTATAAATTTCAAATAGTAACAATTTGGAGTGGGAGGAATTATGCAGAAGGAATTATTGTCTGAACTTAATGCAAAAGTTTTAGAGGGGGTTAATAATACTTCTGAATCATTTGTTGTAACTATATTTGAATATCACATTATCTACACGATATAATTTCACATGCTTAAGTATTATTTTTGTGGTGTTTACATTTATTTGTTTTTTGATGTTGATTTTTGATCTTTGGAAGCATAACCATTATTTGGGAATGGTGAAGTTTGTAAAATGATAGGGCTCTTAGTTGTATAGTGGTAGATACAGTGATTTATTTCATAAATAAATATATGAAAATGAATTTTTACTGGTAATCAAAAGTAATTTTTGATGCTTCAGAATATTTTGTTTATGTCTACTTTTCAAAATCTGAGCTTTACTTAAATAATTCATGGCCCAAACAACCTGTCTAGCTCTGATTTAAACTGAGCTCTTCCATGTTACAACCCTCACCAGTTGAAATATTCGGAAACGTACTGTCATTATGAGCAAAATGAAACCAAACAAACTTCATGCTCCTTAAATCCTCTTTATAGCTCCAAAATATCACCAGTATCCTTTGCTTAATATTGTATGTTTATCTAAGTGTGTCAGTTACTAAGAGGATAATGTTTTTATTGACCAAGTTGTCCATTGACTAGACAGACTTTAAAAACACAGGCCTCCATATTTAATTCTATTCCATATTAGCAAACTGCAAAGCATAGTTAGTGTAAGACATGCATTAAACTTAAATTGACAAAAGGATGACTTACTGGTAGTTGTTGAAATGGGATTCTAATCTGTAGGGTAGTTCCTTGAAATTATGAATTTAAATATGCTGTTTTAATTATTCCAGAGCATTCCCCATATGGTCCCTCACCATTGGGTCGACCTTCATCTGAAACGAGAGCTTTTCTCTCCCCTCCAACTTTGTTGGAGGGTCCACTCAGACTCTCACCTTTGCTTCCAGGGGGAGGAGGAAGAGGTATATTGTTTAAACATCTTTATTACTCCAGATTTCTTCCTTCCTTTATATTTCCATCTCAGCTTGTCTTTAAAATAAACCTTTGGAAAAAGCAGGCATTCCTTGCACTTATTTTGGGGTAACTTTTGTTTGGATAAAGAGTCTTATCTAATTTTCATATATTCATATATTAGAAACAGTATTCTAATTACATTTTGGTCAATCACTTAATGCATATTTTTTAAAATCATTGTTTTGACTTTATGTATTATACTACATAATATAAATTTTATAAAGAATACATAAAATGCAGTAATATAACCTAGCATAAAATTGTATTTTAATGAACTATAATTAGAGTATAGAAATTTTGTTTCATTCTCATGATCTTTTTATTGTAAAAAATCAGAAAACCAAAGAATCTTTTTTAGTGTTGAGGAATTTAGAAGTGCTCTCTTAGAGGCAGTTTTGATGGGAACCTTAAATGAGACCTAAATCATTTGTTGATACTTTAAGAAACCAACCCAAGATTGTCAGTTTTGTTATCCCCTTATCTATTTTTGAGAATTTCAAGAGCTACTTCAAACCTAAGCAATAGCAGTTGGTCTTTCTGCATTTATCTCATCAGCACTCATTGTGGTGTTACCTAATGGACTTGCAATTTCCCTCTTTTGATCTCTCACCATACTTTGTTCACGTTAAGTTGCTTTAAAATCCTTCCTTGAATTGTGGTAAGATTCAAAGATACAGAACCCTGTTTATCCCAGTATCAAGTCTTAGGTTTTTAGCCCCAGGTCTGTGTTATTTTGTAAGAGCTAATAGCATTAAATTAAATTAAATTAAATTAAACACCAAATCAAGTTAAATAAAATTTAAACACCAAACTAAATCCAGCATACCAATGGTCATATATTCAAACGGATATTACTCATCAAAATAATCTCTTGGGGAGTCTGTGTACTTTCCTGTTGAAGCTGCCATTTAAAAAATTGTTTTGAAACTCTACTTGGAATTGTCTTCAAAGAATATGAGAAAATTAATTTCTTACTTTATGGTTATGAGATAGTCTCCCTTTACCCATTTCCTATTTATATCATCTTTCCCTGTTCTCAGTGTGGTGCCCTTAGCTCTGGTCCCTCCTACCTCCCAGTCCCAATACAGGTTGGGCCCACAGTCTGGAGATACTTCAGAGAGAGCCCTAGCTTGTGTTGGCTTTGAACTGAAAGCTGCTAGTGAAAGAGACTGAGCTGTAGATTGACTCTTGGAGCCCTAGGGGAGCTTTGCTTTGAGCACTTCAGGAAGGGGGATAATTTTGAAATTTACATGCATATTGTAAGTGCCCTAAATCCATTTCCCCCCCAAATTTTAACCTTAACCTATAGTAAGAAATATATTTTATGTTGTTTTATATACCAACATAAATGTAATTGAAACTAGTTACATGAAATAGACTACCCTTACTATTTTTGATTCTTTCTGATATTTTCCATTCAGATCTATTCCATTTATTTAAAAAAATGCTGATTAAGACCAAGTTATTTTTGCATCACTATGGGTTGTAGCCAGCAGTGCCTTAGAAATAAGGGTATAATTGGCTAAACTGCAAATGTGAGTCACTGGAAGTTGAATGACGTTAAGTCAAGGATTGCTTGTAATTAATTGAATATTTGAAATAAGAGTAAAAATTACCTTTGATTTCTCCTCTCCTATTTAAATTACTTTCCTCTACTTTTCCATTACTTTCAAGATATGATATGTTTGGAATATTTGCAAGGGTGTTTTACTATTTGTTAGAAAAGTATGGAAGTTTTAGGTAAGTTGTCAGCAGGTCAGAAGGGACTTGATTTGGACTGAAATATTCTGACCCACCAGAGAAGGATGACCAGTACCCATTCCTTTCCTTCCATTTATTATATTCTTAAGTTTGAAAGTTTGAATGAATATGTATTTGAGTAAGATTGAGTATAAGGAAAATCATTTCTTTTTAGAGTAAGTTGTGTGCAACTTTTGGTCTGAATTTTAACCTTTAGCATTTATAAGTTTGTAATTTTTTATATGGTAATAATTTGGTCCTTTGGAAGGAAGCAGTCAGGAGAAAGCCTTTGAATTGCTCCCTTTAAGATCTGTGCTTCACTCTAGATGAACCCAGCCTAATTGACTCTTGCACATTTTTTATGAATTTAGTTTTCTGCTTTTGAGCCTATTCTTCTAATAAGCTGATTAGAAGGATGAATAAACCAGAAGGAAAGATTTGAGGAATTTAGTAGAATGTACAACTATAACGAATAGAGGAAGCTGACTTTCTGACATAAAAGTCAGCTGACCTTCTGACTCTACAAAAGAGAATAGATAGAAAATTTTTAAAAAAGATTACTGTATATTAAAAATGAAAGAATTCTTATGTTGACTGCACAAATTTTCAAGTAAAGGTCAGTTAATTTAGTTTCTTCTTAAAAGAGGTACTGAAATGTGGGAAACATTTTATAAAGATTTCTATTAAAAAACTTTTTAAAAAGCTATTCCTTAAAAGGAATAAGCTTTTGTTTTCTGAGAAATATAATTTTGAGATCTTATTTTCTTCTCAATGATAGATAAATGAGGTATTAATGTATTTTGTTTTTTAATGCTTAAACATTTTTTATATTTGTCTTTTCCATTTTATTTGAACATGAGTTATTATGTGAAGTACTGTCATTTCTGTGGGCATATAAAGGGAACTTTGAAATGATTCCCCTCTTTTGTGAACATAAGCATGCCATATTTTCTTATCCAAATGAGTATAATCTTGTTCAAAATATTTATGCCAACAGACTGTTTTTGAAACTGTTGTCTTAGACTTGCCTTTCCAGAGATGTGAGTTCTTTTTAAGGTGAATTTGATATTTAGAAATTGCTAAAAGCCATTATAAGTGAAATTTGTGTGGTAAATATGAAGTTTGTAATCAGACTGGTTAAAATCATATTTAGACAGAAGTAGAGAGTCATGTCACAACACTGAAATGTAATTTCTTGAGTGGCTCTTACATTAATCTGAGTACATTTCTTAAGAGAGTTGTTCTGAAAAATACTTTGTGTAGTTACAGAACTAGTAAACTAGGTATTTAGCCCCTAAAATGACTGTTTTAAAGGATTCATGCTCCTTTTAACTATTGGGTTATTAGTAACAAAAACCTCATTTTATAGTTATTTTACTCTGTTTGGTATAGAAATCTTTATTTTGCAATTTACTTTCTCCCCTGTATTTTTCATATGTTATATTTATAATTTACAATTTAGCCACTGATTTTATATGTAAATGATGGTGATAACATTTAAAAATGACTTCTATAGGCAAGTGTTTGTTTATATATATTTATATTATTTTTTCCTTGTTGTCCTAGAAATGGCTTTGATAGGGAAGGGTTATAGTCTAATGTCTTAGGGAAACTTTGTTGGGATACAGTTTTACTTTTTAAAAAGTATCTGGATTTTATTTGATGACAGGTTTTTATAATACTTTTTTAGATAAAACTGAATTTTTTTTCTAATTAGGCTCAAGAGGCCCAGCAAATCCTCTGGACTATCAGATTACCAGTGAAAGAGGAGAATCAAGCTGTGATAGGCTAACTGATCCTCACAGAGCACCGTCAGACACTGGGTCCCTTTCACCTCCATGGGAACAGGATTGTAGGATGATGATCCCTCCATCAGGTATGGATAGAATATAGTTATTGTTTATATTTGAAAGGCAACCAGTATGTACAACATACAGGAATGGAAAAAAAAAGAAGTACATGTGTGTCCTGTTTTAGGAAAAACCATGATATGTATTAGAAAATAACAGTTAACACAAATTTCTAAACAAAATAATTAGGGGTGATTGTTTACATTATGGAAAGCTGTTTTATCCACCCCCAACCCCTAGTGGAATATTTTTATTATTTTTGTTACTCATAGAAATGTTACATGTCTATATAGAAAATCCAAACAATGTAGAAACGGTGATTAGGAAGATGAAAAAATACCCCTTCTCATCTTACCATGCCCCTTCCAGAATTTAGTTCTATATCTTTTAGGGATTTTTTAAAATGTATTCATAAACATAGGTATATAAATTCTTGAATCATTTCTGTTCAATTATACTATTCATCTTCTTGTAATTGTCTTTTTCACTGAACAATATATCTTAGATTAACTGCCATAGTATATTACCAGAAGAGTCACAGCAGAATATCCTGAAGTAAGGCTATAGTTGCTATTCTCCTAATAGCTTCTGCTGTCCCAAGGAATCTTTTCAAATTAATTAGTTTGCTAAACTTTTATTTAGGTATAGAGTTTCAGGGGCACTGTTATGTGAACTGAATTCTGTTTCTTTGTATAAATTGATCATCATTAAAAAAATACTACCTCAGATTCCTTCTAGGGGTGTTAGAAAGGGAAGAGTATTATAGTAAAATAAACTTTAATTCTAAGCAAAATGTTTTGCTGTGGTGGTGTGTGTATGTTCTCTCAAGTAGTGGCTCTTTATACTGTGGTTTTCCTTTGTTTGATATCACTAAAATATCAGCTTCATAAAAACACAGATTTGGGGCACTTTTTTCAGTGCTATGTCCCCAGCACCTGGAACAATGCTAGGCATGTAGTATTTGCTCAGCAAATATTTGTTGAATTAATGAATACCAGAGTTATTCTGAGAAAGCTGAGTATGTATATGCCATGACTCAAAAACTCTTTTAGGAAGGTAACATAGAACATCATCTTTCAAAGATTCTTTCTTGACGTTAACATTCATTAAAAGTTTAGCTGTGATAAAAATGAAGATTAATTAACTATAGCCCCTTTCTGAAGGGACTTGATTGCAAGATTGTGGAGTAGCTCATATCTCTGCATCTGTGCAGAAGACCTTCCTTTATGGAACTTAAAAGCAGTCAGTACCAGGAGTCCCTGTCACATCTGCTTTCTTCCCTAGTAAGTGGTTCTAGTGTAGTTGTTCTCTAATTTGGCTTATCATTAAAAATAACCTAAGGAACTCAAGAAAAATGCAGATACCTGGGTCCTACGTCATATCAGACCTTTGGAACATGAACTCTGGAGGTAAGACCTCTATTTCTAAAAAAATACCCTAGATGGTTCCAAGGGATAGCTAAATTTAAAAACCTCTAATTCTCTTCATTTGTTACTCTTCCTATATGGAGAAGGGCACTGAGTCCCCAGAGATTTGCTGACAAACTTAGGTTAACATCTAGGTGAATAGGTGACCTATAACTCAGATAGTAATGACTTTATTATTGTTGTTCATTCATAAAATTAGAAAATAATTTTACATGTCCTTTAATGATTGCCTGAAATCTATAATTGTTCAGGCTTTCCAATATTATCTCTCAGATCCCTGAGTCTCTCTTCATTTTGTTTCTGTTGTTTTTATTATTACTATTTTCTTCTACTGTTTTTATTTTTCTTCTAGTTGAATAATTTCTATTGCTCTACTTTAAGTTTACTGACTTTTCTGTCATCTCCATTCTGCTATTAAGATATTTTTCAGTTCCAGAATTCCCATTTTTTAAATAGTTTTGATTTATCGGCTGAGATTTCTTATAAGCTTTTTTTAAAACCTCATTCAGCATAGTTTTGTAATAGCTTCTTTAAAGTCCTCATATGGTCATTCTAACATCTGGGTCATCTTGAAGATAGCCTCTATTGGTTGTCTTTTCCCTTAGAATGAGTCACATTTTCCTGTTTCTTGGTATATAATGAAGAGTTGTGGGTTCTTTCCTAGACATTATGGAGACTGTGTATTTCTACTATTGTTAGTTTTGTTTTGTAAGTCAATTAAGTTGGTCAAACACAAACTGTAGACTTTTTTCTCCTGTGATGGGCAGCAGCTCAAATATCAACTCAAGGTTTTAGCTTTTATTTATGTATAGAGTTTCAGGGACACTGTTATGTGAACTGAATTCTGAAAACTGAAAATTGCTTAGCTTTGCCTCACACATGTGTGGTTGAGGAGTTCGCCAAAATAGTTCGCCCAAGGAGACTTGGCAGAAAACTCAAGAGTTTTGGGCTCCACTTCTTTGGATCTCATAGGCTTTGTCCTTTGCTTCTCAAGCCAGGGAGATCTGAGAGTATTAACTGGTCTATGCTGCAGCTTGCCTGTAGTCTGCCTTCAGGCTAAAATATAAAAATGGAAAACTTTCCTTTACCAGCCCCTTCTTCCAAGTTCCCATTCCTTTCCTAAATTTGCCTACTTTTGTTCATGCTTCAGAGCCTTAAGTTAGTTATTTTTAATTTTTAGAATTTGTCTAGGTTTATTGAGATATAATTGATACATAGCACTGTGTAAGTTGAAGGTGTAGCGCACAATGATTTGACTTAAAAATATCGTGCAATCATTACCACAAAAAGTTTGGTTATCACATGTCATCTCATCTAGATACAAAATAAAAGAAATTTTCTTCCTTGTGATGAGAACTCTGTATTTATTTTCTTAACGTTATTTATATCGTACAGCAGTGTTAACTATAGTCCTCATGTTGTAAATTGTATCCCTAGTACTTATTTATCTTATAATCAGAAGTTTGTTTTTGACCACCTTTCTCCAGTTTTCCCTTTCCTTTCCCCTCACATCTGGTAACCACAAATCTGATCCCTTTCAGTTTTTTTGGTTTTTTTTTATAGAGATTCCACACAAAAGTGACATCATACAGTATTTGTTTCTTTCTGTCAGACTTATTTCACTTAGCATAATGCCTGTAAGGTCGATCTGTGTTGTTGCAAATGACAAGATTTCCTTCCTCTTTATAGCTGAGTTATATACCGTTATGTACATTATTTCCATATCTTGGCTATTGTACATAATTCTTCAGTGAACATGGGGGGGCAGGTGTCTTTTTGAGCCAGTATTTTTGTTTTTTTTTGCTAAATATCTAGAAGTAGAATTGCTGGATCATATGGTAATTCTATTTTTAATTTTTTGAGAAACCTTCATATTGTTTTCTGGAGTAGCTACACTTCAGGTAGTTATTTTTTGTGAGTTGTCCAGAGTTGTTACAGGTGGGAGGGTCGGTCTGTTATGAGTTTACTCTGCCATATTAGAAGTGGAACCTAATGTCCCTTATTTTCTAACTAAAAATTCAAAATTGTGAGCTTCAAAATTAATGTCTTCATAGAAGAGGTATGTATCTATTCCATAGAGAATATCTCCAAATAGTTTCTGATCCATTTAGTTTAACTGATGGGTTACCTGTGTCAACTCTAATCTTAAAGAAGTGGAATAATTCTATAGACATAGCCAAGGAATTGTAAAGGCTATTCTAGACTTTATGGATAAATGGGGTAAAATGAGACTGAGACTCTAGTTTGAATTGAAGTAATGCTGATAAATGCAGTTAGCTACTTAGCCCTATTCCCATCTAGAGTAAAATTACAAAAATAGCCTATGTTTGCCCTTGGGACATCTCTATCCTATCTAAATAGTCACCACAAGTTTCTGGGTTAGTTCTTTTATTTTGTGTTACAATTAGCTAATTGGTGTATTAAAGCATTGAACAAAAAATGAGGAGACCTAGCATTTTATCTTACATTGTTTTTAATTTTTTGTGTAATCTTGAACATTGCATTTTGCTTGTCACTGTTTTCTCACCTGTAAAAGATGGACTTCCATAAAACAGAGATGGTAACAATTAAAGTAATTGCTCCCTACACTTTTTATTATGTTGAATTATCAGGGCTTATGAAGAGTCCTGCTTTCCAGTAATAATCATGTCTTTAAGGTATTTCTTAAATTTTAAAGTGTTTTAATTTAAAACACTTGTGTTAAAGTAATATGGCAACTAAAATAACTAAAATTTTGAAGAATATGGATTCTGTAGTTGAGATTTTCTGTAATTTATATTCTGTAAAAGTATTAAGTATATTTTGTAAAATTCACATATTCCATTAACGTATTAGTATTGGCAGAAATTTTTAAGTTTTTCATGGAGTTTTGCATGAGTAAGCAGAATAATTTTAAAAGATTCTTTAATTCTAGGGAATCATTTGTTTTAGCACTATTAAATACTTTGAAGGAGGAAAAAAAGCATTTGTACTTTATATATATATTCAATTCTAGACATTTTTGTTGCTTAGATGTCTTGTTGGCAAGCGTAGACCTAGTTTCTTCAAGTAATCAGCATTTTATTCTCATTATATTTTTGCTGAAGATTCAGTCTTCTCATAGAATAATATAGGTTTTCAACGTCTTTTTTCCCCAAAACTCTGTATGGAATATAATGGTTATTAAAGGGTAATACACAGATTTGGCTGCCATATTTGGATGAGGCTGAGTCTGCTCCAGCACAGTTTGTGCACAGAGTTGATTTGAATAATGTACAAGTGCATTGTATCTGTCCATATAACATTGTTTCATGGCTTTATAACTTAGATTGCATATTATAGAGTAAGAAATGTTTAGGTAAACAAACATTGGGACTGGAAATTAAGAAATCTGGTTTCCAGTCTTTACTTTTTTACCTTTTAAATGATTTCTGAAACTTGTTTTATCTCTTTGGACCTCAGTCCTTTATATACTGAGAGAGATACACTAAGTGATCTGTGTAATCTGTTTTAGATGAATTAGTCAGGTACTAATGGTTAACACTGGGATTTGCTAGATAATTTTCAATCTAGTTGATAGACCAAATAATATAATATATAAAATTAGTGAAACCAGACTA